ATATAAAATTAATTATTTCTAAATTTTTAATATATATATATTGTATATAAAAATATATTTAAAATTTTTTTTAATTATAATAATAAATATATTCTGCAGTTTTTAGACTTAATTTTGATTGTTGTTGTTCCTTACAATACAAATAATGATAATTCTCTTCAATCTGTCCATTTCTAATAGTTAAAGGGGGGAAAAACAATAAAATATATGTCTATCATCTTATACTCAGGTATGTTTAATGTTTATGAATTAACTATTGTAAGTAAACTTGAAATTTTCTCTAAAGAACACTTATGTTCATTATGACCGTCAGGTCATTCACAATACCATATAGTACAGTTCAGTACTATAATATGTAATATATCTTTCATAGAATGTAAAAGTTTTGTATTAGTTAAAAAATATATTAAAATAGATATATTTCATAGAGAATATAGATAAATTTCAAGATATGTTTAAAATATTAGATCTTTTTTATAGTTTAGTATAGTGTACATTAAAATTTTGTAAAAAGTATGTTAAATATTTGTTTGGGACCATTTTTTACTTTAAAATTTAGTTTTACGAATCTTTATTTGGTTATAATATGATGGAACATTAGAAATGCATTTACTTACCTTCAGATTTAACATTGTCATATGAGTTTAATTTAATTATTCTTGAAAATTTTAGAATAATTAGACTCATTCTGAAGCAATTAAAACTAATGTCATTTTATTTTCTCAATATGAAGTTTTCAAAATAAATCTGTATTTGTATTTGTTTTTATTCCTTCAATCTAATACAGTAAATTGAAGTTTTAACTGCAATATACAAAATCTAAAATATACTTTTGAAGTTCAATACCTTGTAGAGATTTTCCATACTATATTCATAATGACAAAATTGATGACGATCACTCTAATAACCTTAAATCAATTTTCAGGAATCAAATATTTGCTTATTTCTTAACTGTGAAAAAATTTACATTATAATATTGTAGAGAGAAGCCAGTAATACATAAACAATTTTCATTTAAGAATTTTTACCATCATCTTTCAAATAGTTATTGCTTATATTTCTTTTAAAATTTGTTCTTGCAAGTATAATGGCATGATTGATACTTTGAGCATTTTGCATTCTTTGTATACACTTTATGTTAAATTTGTATTCAATGACAAATATTAGGAAATGCCAGGAAACAAGAAGGGCCTCTTTTGTGACTTGTCTCTAGGCATTATTGTATTTCATTGGATATAAATAAGAAATATAGTGAATATTATCTGTAAAGTATATGTTGTGCTCAAAGTATCGGTCCTGCCAGTGATAACTTGCAAGAGAATATAGAAAATGCCATCAGTCTTTGTAACTATCCTAAAAATGAATGAAATTTCGTATTATTATTATTGAGTTGGTGGAAAGTATCCTATTTGGTTAATACCAGTGCCTAGTGCTTTGCTAGACTAAGGTCAAAGGAAAGCTACAGTAAAAGCTGTCACTTTTTTACATACTGTTTGTGTGTGTATATGTGTGTAAGAATCATCTATGTGATACATGTGTAGTATGGCAGTTTTCTGTAGTGTGATGTATGCACTATTGTGAAGTCCAATGTCTCAAGGCTAATATAGTTTGTGGTATGCCTATGCAAGAAAAGTACCTTATTCATTTTCCATAGATGCTTTATTTCATGGGAGAGTTCTGAATATTTGTTAATTTTTTTTAGTTTGTGTGTTTGGAATGCTGTGGGTTTTGTACAGTTATGTGTATTGTTTGGCAGCGAATGTGATCATTATTATTAACAGATGAAAGTTAATATCATTTCTCAGCATTTTCATTTATGAATTAGAAATGAGAGTTGTTTCATGTTTCACTGATCTTACTCTACAATTTTAAAGTTTAAAATTTTTTTCTCATCTTCAATGATAATTTATTTCATCTAGAAAATGAGATCTAAATCATTGCTGTTGATTTATAAATAGGAATACAGTAATTTCTGAATTTGTATTTATTTTAGACAACATTGCTGTCTAATGATTTTGGTTTACTTTTTTATTAAAATTTTTATAGTAATTTGGACATGATTTTCAGACCACATATAAGTTCTTAGAATACTTTTCCTTACAGAAATAAAATTGTATTCATTCATAAATAATAATTTTGGAAGACAAGTGATCTTTTCTAGTGTCTACCTTTTAAACTTATTTAACTGAACACTTCAAAAGATAATGCAGTTAAAACTGTACTTTGATAGTCCTATTATCATCTATACAATTTAGAATAAGCAAACCTTTAGTTTAATATTTCACTATAATTTATTGAATGATTAAAGATTATTTATTTGAATATTTTACATAAAGTTATTTGTATATTGTTTATTGATTATGTTTTAATTTTATAAGTGCTTTTTATATATAATTAATATTGTATTAAATCACTTTCTCATCGAATTTTATAAGACCGAATTATCTCGACCGTATTAATATTTCGATATTTATATTGAATATTGTTAGCTGATATCAACTGTCACATTTATTACAGTACAACTTTATTACCGTATTTTACCGTTAAAATGTTATCAATTCTTTGTGGATCTTCTCCGTAATTTATCCCGTCAAAGCCGCATCAAAAAAAATTACAAATTTTATTACAAAGAGCTTTTATTTTTTAAATTATGTATGAAATATTTGTATTAATGACAATATTCTATACAATTACAGTTGATATCAGTTAAAAAAAAATTTTTAAACCATGCTTTATCTGTTATTGGTTTTATTATTATTAGTATGAACTGTACCATTGTACTCGTATATAGTACAGTACATATTTTCAGATTTCATAAATCTGTACTTTGTATAACTGATATTCAGATTTAAAAAAATACCGATACCTTCACTTGTGACATTCAGATATTTCACCAAATATGTGTGTTCCGAACGTATTTTGTTTGTTCATATTTGTCAAGAATTTTTAATGTGATCTGTTTAAAATTAACATAGTGTAATTGTACATTATGTTATAATTAAAATTATGTAGTAATAAAAACATATCTTGTATGAATCTGAGTCTTCTGTTGAAATGTATATACTGAGCAACTCGTAAGTCCTTCATGTTGTCACAAATTAAAATTGTAATACATGCACATTGCCATATGTACACATGTGAATTCTAGTGTATAGACAGGAGTATACATCTTCGATAAGTGGAGGAACACACGAATGCAATCGTATATCCTCTGCACTTAAGGAAGACATGTACACAAATTTACGCACTACAATTTGCACGTGCAAACATTTACTAGGTGTGTAGTTTAAACATCCGTTGCTGTACAGATAAAACATTTACTGGTATTATAATATATGAGAAAAAAATTGAAAACTGGGTTTTACATTTAAACTTTATTAGTTGTCACTTTTGTTTTTGCAGTTTTGGTTCATTGTTTAACAGAGAGGAAAGCTATGATAAATGCAATTGCTACTACTTTCTCAAGTAATTTATATGCAAATAAATGCTTCTTTAATTAATTAATAATAAATACATGCATACATAAACAAAAACAAAATAAATTCCATACTAAATTAAAAAGGAAAACCCAGTTTGCAGTTGAATAAAAAAAAAAATTTTACATTCTCGGAACCAGAAGTGGCTGCTGGGTCCAAGGAATTCTGGATCACTCCGTATAATTAAACACACAAAAAAGAACACAGGAAGCTTAAAAAGCAAACTTTTTGATGATTAAAAACCAAAAATTTAATACATCAAAGATCAAGTAAATGAGTAAAATCTTCATTAAATCCAACTCCTCACAAGATGTGACAGACGATACTGCTCTATCTCCTTATCTCCTCAACCTTTAATCACCAAAATTTAATAGCATCAATGCCTGTTACAAGCCAGATTTTGGTTCTTAATCTTTATCATCCCATTCTGAGATATTAAAGGAAATAGGTGCCAACACACCACTGACAGAATTTTTTAATATATTTTTTTTTTACTTTGGGGTTAGGAGATCTCAAAACATGGAGACTTGACACAATTCTAATACTTTCCATTATGTATGCATAACAGTCAGGAAAGTAAAATGAGAACAAAGTGCAAAAAATTGATAAATAATACCATTTAAATTACAATTTTTTTTAATTATTTTTCATTTTAATAATTCCGATAGCTTTTAACAATTTCCAATTGTTTCCACTTTATTAATATTTTATCAAACACAGGAAATTTAAGGATCAGGGAATTTGAGTAAAATGTTAAGATGAGCAAGTGTCATTTCTAATTAGTATGATGACATAAATGTTATAGTTATCACATTCGTTCATTTTCATAAATAGTAGTAATGTCTTATAACAAGGAAAATTAATCATAAGAAAATAGTAGATGGATTGATGATGGAGATGGTCAGTCTGTCATTCTGGAGGACCCAGATTGAATTCTGGCAGTGAGTTCTAGAAATTGACCCATATTATATTGAGCCCTGTTCATCACCATGTGATTAGCCCCCATTGTGGACTTAGTTGAACTTAATGGATGAGGAGACATTGGTCTGATGGAATACAGCAACACAAGACATGGGCAATCTACCAAGATGGGGTGCTTCCAGAGAGGACTTTCTTTGGAAAACTGGCCTCAGTTTAGGTTTAAATGTGTGAAGAAAACCTGGACTCCATGCTACCAGCCCATTGATAAGACACTGCCAGAAAACATTGACTAAATGAATAAAATTATACACACTTTCTTTTGTAAGTATAATACTTATCTGTTTTTTATTAAGTTGTTTATTTTTTTTTTTTTAATTTATCTTCTGTTTCTCTTTACTATTTTATTTCTTTTAAAGCAATGGTTCTCAACCTTTTTCGGGTGGCAACCCCCTTTTTATAAAAGCCAAGTGACTTGCAACCCCGATACAATTGAAAAAGGTATTTTTAATAAGGTTATTAAAAAAACAATGAAATTAAGATAACTACTTCCAACAATTTAACACTTGCACAGGCGTGGAAGTATTTATTCGAGGAGTTCGAGCAATGGCAGTCGGAGGGGTGAAACCCGACGCGCACGTTTATTTATTTACATCGTTGGCAACATCGTTACAACGGACGGGTCGACACTCACCACCTGAAGCAGACCTCGGTGGAGGTCGAAAGTACTCGTGGAACTTAATAGTGAAAATAACCCTCGTAAAAAAGGTTTTTTCGTGGATCGTTACAATGAAATTAGTTTTTTAGTACAGTTGTCCCTCGATAATCCGACAGGTATGGGACGAAAGGTGTGTCGGATTACCAAAAGTGTCCGGATTACCGAAAATAATTACATATTTCGCATTGTTTTGCTAGCAATAACTTACAATATTCTCTACTCCAACTGTTTGAACAGAACTGCTCACATAAAACACACGAAATGTGTGTCATCGAGTAAGAATTGGATGGGGAGATTCACATCACGACATGCTTCTGTGCAAGCAGACACATAACGGGGACGGGTACCTTGACGGGAGGTGCGTCGGACTACTGAGCATGTCGGATTAAAAAACGTTGGACTATCAAGGGACAACTGTATAATTTTATTTTAAATTATGTTTAATAATTAATTTAATGAGATGGTTGAAATTGCATGTATTATTAACCATCCTCAAAATTCGCGGGTGAGATTTTGTTAATGCCAACCTCATGTCATTCTCAACATTTAATTTATTTCTCTCAAAACTCTCAAGTCTCAACACATGATTCAACTGTGACAGAATAGCGTACCCAGATTACACTTATTTTAATTTTTTAAAAATATATGAAATTATTCAAACTTTAAGACACCATTAAAAATAAATATGCATTATAGTGAAAATTTTGTTTTAGTTTACTGCATAAGTTGGCGACCCCACAGAAAACCCGTCAGGACCCTCTTCTGGGTCGCGACCCATAGGTTGGGAACCCATGTTTTAGAGAGAAAATAACATGAATGGTATTAAATGTGATTAAATAGTTGATCAGTTCTCATTTCAGATTTTATAAAGTTCATAAATGTAAGTTATGGACTTCTTTCTAATTTTTTAATTTCTAATGTTTTCCAGTTGAGAAGAGTCACTGTTATTAAATAGATAAAAATTAGGAATGTAAGAATGGGCACACATCAGTAATATGCTTGTATAAATACTTTTTAAAAATTCTAACAAGTAAGTTGATTTTATTTTGTTCATAATTTCAATAAGAATTTTTCATTTTTCAAATATTAAAACTGTAGCACACTTCACAATACACATTACTGACTGCTGGTTGACTGGAGTTAATATTTGAGTGGATCATGAATGACTCGGTAGTGTGGAATCCAGCCTAATTTATGCATAAAACCATACAGGAAAAGAAATTATTTCAGTAATTTTATTTTTTAAAAGTTTGCCATATTAGTTTTTACAGAATGATTTACTCTTTATTTGATTTTTTCCCTTTTAAGTACTCTTCCTCTGTAATGACTGACTGAGACAAATAATTTTGATAATATATTCGATTGTCTCTGCTGCTGACAGCAAAATCCAACATATTATCCATTTCTTCTTTTGTAAATGGTTCTCCTATTTTAAATATCAAAATGTTACTAAAATATTCTTATTAATAAATTTTCAAGAACTTATTGTTACCATATTTGGTAAAAATCTGTTTGGCCTCCTCTTCAGTTAAATAATGTTTTTTCTCTTTATCCAAATATTCAAATGCCTCCTTTAATAATTCGGCATCAACTGGTTTGAATCTGTTTTAAAAAAAAGATAATTTTTTGTAAATTCAGTTTATATAGTTCAATCTTAATTATAGTTGATATTAACTTTTCTGTTTTCATAATGTCTAGCATAACGGGCATAATTCTCTCCATGTGTATTGTTCCTGGATTTTCAGGATTTTCTACCTGCAAAAGACTGTGGTTAAATTTTTTCAAATTTAAATATTGACATTATACTTGGTGTCCCACATAAAACTGGTCCCCTTTAAAGCATTGGTTCCATAATATTTTGCGAATAAAACAGGAAATAAGTTTTCAAAGATTTTCTTCCTTTAATTTTATTTTGTCACATTTGCCCTAGTTTTTTCCAATATGAAGATTATGATAATTTGCCCAACCAGTGAGTGAGGCAAGTTTTATGAGGGACACTGTGTGTCATTTAAAAAGAAATTGTTTAACAAAATGATTATTAATACAGTAGAGTCCCAAAAACTCGGCCTAATGTGGACCAAAGGGTGGCCAAGTTTGTGAAAATGTTGGATTATCAGGAATGAGGTTAAAAAAGAATAAGTACGAGTATTTCCTCAGGAAATACTGTTCTGTACTTGTATGTATTGTTTGCTTGAGAATACAACAGAGAATAAACTGCCCTTAAACAAAGGAAAAGTACATACCCTTAAACAAAGGAAAAGTACATATGTTATGAAGATACAGAGCCTTTACTACATGAAAATGAAAATTAATGAATACACAGTGTAAAGTAAATTACCTGATAAGACAGACCTCAGAAAAATACTTTGAGGCATAAAGCTGTCTATAATGAAAATTAACTTGCCGACTTTGCAAAAACTGGCTACTTTTTTAAAGAAATGTGTAATGTCCTGTTGTCTTCCGCAATGCACTCTGCATTTTGCTGCTTCATCATGAAGATGACAAAGGAACAGTAAGTCCATTACCAATGCACCTTGTTGTTCAAAATACTGAAGGGTGGTTTCAACAGCCTTTAGTCCCTCACTATGTGATATTTTAGGAGCTTGTACAGTGGAGTCCTCAACATCATCATCATCTTCATTTTCCTGCATTTTTTCATTAACTGTGACAATAGCAATAATTTCTGCGTCGGACCTAATGTCTTACTTGGTATTGTTCTGGAACCACTGTTTGACATCATTTTCATTGGCTTCTGCACATCCAGGAACTCTTTTCAGGAGGTCGAATAAGTTTACATTTTCTGTATCATCATGTTCAACGAACTCATTTCCCTTGTGATCAAAGAGTTTTCGCCAGGAACAAACTAGTGTTAGTGACTCTAACTCGTTCCAGGCATTTGCCACCCAGCCAACAATATCCAATAGGTTAATTTTCTTTAAGTTCTGGATAAGACCTTGACCATCATCGTTTGCAGAAAGAAGGGAGGATAACAGCTTGCACCGAGTTATCCAGACTGCCATGTTATCAAGTGCCGAGTTTTCAGGACTCTACTGTAATAGATGCTTTAGGTACCAATTGAAAGAATCTAGAAACAAATGCTTTATTATCTATCACAGTTGAAAGTCCAGATCTGTGTTAGATCTGGATTCAACTTGTTCTATTTTTCCACCATTCTTTCCATAATTGACTAATATATATATAAACTATGTATATAACAAAATTGGTAGAATCATGTTGCCCGGAATAACATTATGACTTAGGTTTAGCACAACACTGCTGAAAGGCTTTCCAACCCCTGGTCTACACTGTCATTGAGTAAGTTATACACTTCACATGAAATTTTTGTTTGTGCATTAATTAAAAACAGTAATAGAAGTTAATTTTAGATACTTTATATATATGAAGGATACTTCAGAAGTCATGCAACCATCTTTTTTGTTTTGACAAACACATTGTAGTGAAGAAATATACGTATTAAAGGACACTATATACATTACCAAATAACATTAGTCGTATGTGAAGGGTTTTAGGTAAGGAAAGCAAGAAATAAAATACACTTCAAGCATACCATTGCACATTTCTTCATTCTCTCACTTTACCTAACACACTTTGTTAACATTGAACAGAGTTTTACACAAACAGAGAATTTAAGAACCTTCACAGTATTCTTCATGATTGTTAGTTGCTTGCTGCCAACAATGAGGAAGGTGGCGAATATCATCAGTTTCGTCATTGGTAAATTTTGCATCTTGTTTCAATGGAAATGTCTTCTCGTGTATGAAAGCATTTCTCATGTAACATTGCTTTCACTTTGAATATCCAATCATAATCACAAGGTTAATAGGGTGGGTCCTCTAGGATATTCGATCCCTAGCATGGTAATAGGTTCTTTGTAGTGTTTGCTGTTTTGGGCAGTAGCATTATTGCAAAGAATGATAGCATTGTTGAAGCCAATGAAGATAATTATGTCTAACTACATACGTAGAATCTATTGTAGGTAGGTATCAGTAGATAGGTCTTTTAGTATGCCATATTCACGGTCTGACCATGAATACAGTGTATTATAAGACCTACCTATGATACAAAAATGATATAAAATAACAATAATTGTCACATATTAGAGGGTTAACTTCACAGAGAATTGGTTTTGTCAAAACTTACAATTCTGGATGTTGCCACTCAGCAGATTGACATTTAAGACCAGTTTCACAGGTTTGTGTTTCATCAATGACAATGATCCTATTTGACATATCAAGGTCTATGCTGTGTCACACCTACATTCTACAATTCCCAAAGATGATTCGAAATTGAAATTTGGATTCTTACTACAGTAATGAGATTATAAAAGATTGCTTTGGGGACCCCTATTGATGGGGCCTTGGGCAATTGCCCTTTTTGCCTGTAGGATAAGGCACCACTGACAGCTATGTTCAAGCAAGCATGCCATTTGGCAAACTAACATTCTCAACAAAGATTGAAAATACACTTGACTTTCTGCTCAACTCATCTCAATGTTCTTGAATGTCTTTTTTACCATCAAGTGGTGGGCGGTTAGGTGGCAACCCATCAGTATGGAGTCCTGGAATTAAATCCAGGACTCCATACTGACGAAAAGTTCCAGGAGTTTAAAAACCCCAGGAACTTTTCGGAAAGTGGTCAATCTGGATATATTGGATCGTCTCCCACCACTAGGAATTGTTTGGGGGTAGTTTGTCTGGATTTGTCGAGCCCCGTCCCTCACCATCGGGCGGCCGAATTACGAGCCTGTCCGAATCCATAATGAGCTTTCTAAAACAAATCCTTTTAGTTCCCAAAGAACGGAGAGTTAAAAAAAGTGCCACAGGCGGAAGAGGCAAGAATTATATTAAAATTGCTAGCATGCTATGCTATCCCTATATGTATATAAATAATTTTTTAATAAATTAATTTGAAAATTTAAATTTATCAAAACACTTTGTCTTAAAGAAAGAAAGAAAAGAAATTGAATTTAAGAATTCAAAATTATTTTTCAAAGAATATCTGGCAACGTGACTATTACTTTAAATTTACTCGATAAAGAATTGAAATTTTATAAATTCGAATAATTAAAAATAAATCTTATTAAATTTCCGAATTTTAACAAATTCAGAAAAATTCTGTAATAAAAAAAAATTAAAATATTCACCATTTTAAGTACGTCATCGATTTCCGATTCCATGGGACAGAGATACAAGCAACGGATGAAAGCCCCTAAATCGCTAGATTAAAAAATAAAAATTAATGACGGTTATTGATATCGATTAATATTATTATTATTCAATCTTACTCGGAATTAATAGTGTCATTGTTCTCTTTATCGAAAAATTTAAAGACGCTAACGATTCTCTCCTTCAAATAAAGATCATACGGCGACAATCGGGGCGATTTTTGGAAACCTTTATAAATATTTTTAGCGTTTTTTAAAATCTCTAATCTGCAAATTTAGTTAGATTTTGTACGATGAATCTACTTACTCGACGATGCCATAATGAAAATTCTCTTATTGATAACAGAAGTTTCTATAGTAACATACGTAAACAGAATTCCAGATAATTGGTTCTGTTCGTAAATTTTTAATTTCAAAAAATTTAAATGGAAAATATTTTATCTTCTGAAAATCTTTCTAAACGACTATTTTTTGGAGAATTTTTAAAATTAATAATTAGGTAATTTCTTAGAAATTTTAAACTATCGGCAAATTAAATTATTGTAGAAAACTTCTAATTTCTAGAAAAATTCCTTTGTTTTTTTTTTGAAAAAAATTCAAATTTTTGTTGATTTTATTTTATTAAACCGAATTTAACTCTTCAGAGATTACGATAAAATCAAACGAGGGTACCGGGGAATTTCCGCCAAAAATTTTTCCAAAGAAAAATGTTTGAAGTCAACACCGTACAGTACATGGGGCCGCCTAATTCAAATTTGTCTGGGTCCCATAAAGCTATAACGCGCCACTGAATATAACAATTAACTTTAACGGTAACTCTATACGATGTTTTCTTTTTCACAATTTTGTATCTTCCAACCCAGTGGGCATTAATGGGAACTTTTAATCATACCCATCGTGGGTTCTGTCAGGCCCTCAATCAGGCGGCCGGGTGGTGAAGGATGGGGCTCGACGTATGCGGGGTGGATCATTCCCAAATATTTTTTATGAGTTTTTCGACTCGTTCTAATTTGTTCTCAGGTCCTCCAGAGAGGTTGTCTGACAGCTTAACTTCTCGCCATCCGTCTAATGAAGAAATAGATAGCTGGCTGCACATAGATGACTCCGAGGATGACGAGAAGAATCGCCATCTTAAAAATTTTCTTCGGAAATTACTGGATTTTCTCATTCGTGATGGGATATGTAAATTAATAGTGTTTTCCAAACAGAGATCAGTTTGGAAATCACCAGTAATTTATGTAATTTACGTATTAGTCAATTTGTTTCTAGTGGTGTTTCCCAACTGATTCGATTTGGGAAACATCACTAGAAGCAAATTGACGATGTTGAATGTAAATAATTTAACGCTTGAATTATACAGGCCTGGTTTGTTCCATTCGTGCCTAATTTATTTTCATTGAATTTCAACAATAAATTTATACATTAAATAATATTGAAGAAAGATTAATTACCAGTTTGTGCGAATCACTAATTCCAACTTTGTATTTTACATGTCATTTAAGCGCTTTAATGGAAATGGAAGAGAATTCTGCAAATCTTCAATTAAATCGATTTTTGTACTAATTAAAACGCGTTTTTCTTTTGTAGATAAAAATATAACCGATAAAATCACTGAACACTTAGTAGTTTGTGACGGGTTCTCGCCTCGCCAGCGGGCTAGTCACGTAGAGTTTTCTGGATTCTTCTTGTTTGTAACACCTAAATAGAGGCCTGGGCCGTGTTTAGTAACGCAGAATTCTTGCTAAATCTAGTTATGCTGCAATGTTGAACTCGTTTCTAGCTAATGCTTGACTCCTCCCACCGCTAGAATTCTAGTTTCCATTCCATTTCATTTCATTTCGATTTGGATACAAAGCCTTACGCTTTGTATCGAATTCTAGCTATCAATAGTTCAGTCAGCTTCTTTTATTTGTGCTAACTTCTACTAGTGACGTCATTATTTTTATCTCGTCGTACGATTTGCAAGATGGTTGTTGGACTAAATGTATTTTATTATAACAATCACAATGTTATTCTCTCATTCAAATCATTAACTCATTCTAAAACGACTTCGAAATATAAAATTATCATACATCGGTATAACCGATTTCGAATACATTTTAACGAAAGACAACAGTCTATTTCGTTAATTACAGTTAATAATTGCTTTATTAATTTCATCACAATCTGACGCAGCTTCCATTTTGAATAATTTATTGGTTACTTCATCCTCTTCGACCAGTTCGTTTGCGACAATTGTTGCGATCATAATTTTAACTCTGTCCACCATTTTCTCTAGTTGTCTAACTAAGAATAATCGTTCAATGATGCTCAGAACATTCTTAGCTCCGCCCACTAAGCCACTCAGAATTCTAACTTAGGTGTTCTGCGTTACTGAACACGGCCCTGGTTCTCCATAGAATGTCTTTTCTCTCTCGGATCTGCCACGAGTCGCGTTGCTGTATACAAACAATAACATAGCATTTAACCAAAGCATTTAAAATACTTCTGAAGTCATGAAACACAAAATTAAATTACTCTAATAGATCTATAAATCATTCACCTTAATCTATAAATGAATTGATTTGAAATATTCTATTGACCATGTTCATACTAAATCATGTTTATATTAAACCTATTAGTAAATATAACACGACCATATTAAAAATTTAATTCTGTGTGATAACTGTATTTAAGTTCGAAAGATTAATTCTGTTATAACATTGTTTATAAAAATGTATACTTTTACGCTTATGAATTAAATAAAATTTGATATACACTTTTTAAAGTTTTAGTTAATTTGTTTTCGAAACATTTAATTAGAGGTTATTTTTTAAAAGTAATCATGAGTTAGTAACAATATATTCATCGCTACTCTAGATGACGTGACAAAACACTAGGGGGAGATATAACGTCGTTAACAATGGGATATTCAACGACGTGATTCTGACAGCCAAGGCACATCTGCTGGGAGACGCAAGTATGGAAAGCCCTTTCGGGAATCATTCACCCTTGATAGATCACCCATGTGTTGCGTTGTCGTATCCTATTAAACCATACCTTGAAAATATAATTAAAATAAAATGATGATATTTTATTTATTATAGTTTTTGAGGTTGTTGAGGGAAGATATGAAATGAAACGAAGTTGAAACGATGTCTTTGAAAACGAGAATGATTAATGAAGAATTAATGTAATTTATTATCATGACATATCAAATCGTATGTGTTTAATGAAAGTTAATGAGTTAAACTGATAATTCTAGATTCTCCTGATTTCGTAATGAAATTATTGTATGTAAGTGCAGGCAAATTAAGTACTATAAATTAGCAATGATTATAGAAGTAAATACAACGTAATATTAAAATTTTTAATTATAAATCTTTTTATTTTAATATGTAAAATTTACGTTAAATGGTCTGTTTGTATATAATTAAATAACTTATTTAAATATGTTAAATGAATTATTTAATAATTTAGACTTGCGTAAATTCAGATCCGTAAATTTGAATTTGATACTTTTACATTAAATATTTTTTTTGTTTTGTTTTTTCTCTTAATGCAAACATTTATTCATGTTAAACCCTTTCTTTCAGAGGGTTGTTTTTCAATTTTAGTTAAATAAGGGGTTACCTGAAAGAGAAGCGTACACCACCACAAACGAAACAATTTGTTTTTTGAATGTGCAATACGTCTTTTGACTCCGCCATATTTTTTAAAAATATTTTCCGCTATATGAATGGAACAACTTTTCCAGACCCATCATAGATTCGGTCTGGCCCACAATGGAGAGATCTGATGCTGACGGAAAGAGCCCAATGTATTCGGGACAGACCGACCGGTAATGTAAAATTTCTGAGGTTTCCTGCTTGACCTCGAACTTTAGTCCCTAGGAAGCCAAGCTTTCGATCATTGATTTAGTACGAATCTGGATTGAATGATTACATATCGCCATCACAAAGATTATCCTTTGTAGCAGGCATTTAAAATCACACAATGAAATTATTGATTTTTTAAAATAGTACACTATCATACAATGATGACTGGATGGACGAGGCAGTTAAGAAGTCAGCTACCGCTCTGGAAGACCCTGGATTGAATCTGAGCTAGCAACTCCACAGAACTCACCAGTGGCCAAGGATAAAACCACTGAACATTGGTAGTTGTTCACGGATTCGTGCCATATCAATGGGCTGGTCACGTGGAATTTTTCGGGCTTACTTCACGTTTGTAAGACTTAAATAGGAGCCAGTTTTTTATAAAAAGTTTTGGCAGATCGTCCATGTGTTGCATTGCCGTATCTCATCAAACAAAACCAAATCAAATTTCCTAGGAATTTTTATGGGCGGTTTGTCCCGGATACGTCGGGCCTCGTCTCTCATCGCCTCAGTGCAGCTGTTGTGGGCTTGGACAAATCCACGATGGGTAAGGAAAAAGGTCCTCATAATGCCACGGGGCGAAAGAGATTTTTAAAAAAGCAAAGACAGCCTTAAAATTTTTGAGCCTAAACAAAATTTATTTCTGAGACCCATTAAAAGAGCAACGAAGGTAGAGACAGATGTATTTAAGACTACAATGATGATAACATTTCAAGTATACAAACAGACAGTAACATAATTATATTTTCAATAATTACCATTTTAATGATTTAAATACTAAAATACACCAATTTTGCGAGACCCATGAAAGCAGGAGATCCTAGGTATATTTTTTTTTGTTTTAGGGCCTCGTCTATAAACAAATATTACATATTTATAAATTATGAAGTGTATGATTAATATTAAATTATATAATATTTCAATTAAATAAAATTAATGAAAACGGAAGCATTACATTATTACTCATGTGTGAATCACCTTTTACTTTTTTCTTGAAATATTTGTAATCATCTTACATTGCAGTTTGACTTTATTTCATTAAATAGATGTGACAAGTCACAGTAAAAGTTGCTGTAAGTAATTTTATTTTTCTTTGTTGATACAAGTTTAAATATATATTGATATATACATATAAATATTTATTCGGATTAAATTGTTTTTCTTTAATACTGGGACGTTTTTCTATTATATTTTGTACAATTTATTATATTCTATCAAAATTTAGAGTTATTATTAAAATATCATTTGATATCAACCGAAGTAAAACTCTATGCAACCTCTGATCTATCCTATGCCAGATTTTTGTGGTATATTGTGCCGTTGCACCACTCGATCGAGCTTAGAACCGGTAAGTACAATGGAACTTTGATTTAGCTCCACTGTTGTGAAGAATCGACTATGATGCTAAACTGAAGTACCTCAAATAATAATTACAAGGGGGTCTATACGGCAACGCAACTCGTGGGCGATCTGCCGAGGTAATGTCTTCCGGGATGACTTTATACGGGAAACTGACCACTATTTAGGTGTTACAAACGTGAAGAAAACCCGGCAAATTCAGGTGTTTTAACCACTCGGCTATTCGTGGGC